GTTATTATTATTGTTATTACTATTATTATTATTACTGTTATTGCTATCATTATTACTAGTACTTCTATTATTTGTTGCTATTGACAAAAAAAAAAAGAACAAGAAAAAAATGAAAAAAAAAATACAAATTCTTATCGTACATATATCCAATGATCAGATTGATCTATCCATTTGTCACCTAATGAATATGTGTCGTCGTCTCGATCTCGGATCATATTTGTTTATGGATAAGGATATAGATATCTGTGTTTTGGATAAAGATATCCATAAATTCATCATTCATCTCCTTCTTCCTCCTTATCTTCTACTATTACCATTACTGCATGTTCATTTTTTTTCTTTTTTTTAAATTCATTGTTCAAATCCCAAATTTGAAAAGTTTTCTATCAGTATTAAATTATGTTACATTTTTTTTCATTCATTATCTTTTATTCCATTTTTCTTCTTTTTTGAAATCACTTTTTTTTTGAAAAAAAATTCTTTCCATATGATTAACTGAATTAATTGAAAATTTTCGCCTTTTCTTTTCTTTTTTACTTCATTACTATCACTTTCTTCTTATCATTCCAACTTTCCATTACAATATTAATGATCTTAAAAAAAAAAACGTCAAATGCAAGTTTTACTATTCTTGTTTTTCTCTTTATTATTTACTTTGTTCTTTATCTTTGTGTGATAAGAAATCATTTCGAGTTTTGTGTTAAATGAGGAAATTGATTAAGTTATACTGGTTCGATTTTCCGGAAGAGTTATCATAAATCGTTTTCTATGCAAAATTTACCAATAAAATTGAAAAAATGGAATGAATTCATCATTTACACATGAATTATATACGTTGTGAAATTGTTCACATCGAAATTCATTCATCCGTGCTGTCTGTCTAATCATTCATCCTAACAAGATATAACGGATAATTGCAAGCGAAAGATAAATTGTTCATTTAATTTTCAGAAAATGGAAACATAATTTCATTCCTTTCCGTTCCGTTCCGTTTCGTTTCGTTCTGTTCCGTTCAACTATTCCGTTCAATTTATTAAAGCTATCAATGATATATTTTGCTGTTCAGTTGATCGTTTTTTCTTTTTCTTTTTAACATTATTCAGTTAACTTCTTTTATTTTCGATTGTTGAAATATATTTTTTACAAATTTTCATCGAGTTGTTTCCCTCGCCTAAATGCCAAATACCAATTGATAGTTTTTGATAATTGATAATTTTTCATATACAACTCAACAGCTTTTTTTTCACATTAAATTAAATGAAATTATCGTTGCAAAGTGTGTTAATTGCAATTGTGCTGAATGTTAGTGTAATTATCTCGAAGGATTTTGAATAATTCCTTGTATTATATCCGAGATATTTCAATGCATATAAATTTTGCATCGAATTAACTTTTAGTTCAGCATATAGCATCTCTTTAATTACCCGTCTTGTTCTCTCATTACCTCTTGTTATCCAATTTTCTTCTTTTTCTTAAAGAAAAAAAAAAAAAACAAACAAACAAATATCTTGATTTTTCAAAACCGGTCCATCAAACATTGCAACAATTAAACTTCCTCTTTTTTTTTTCAACTACATTTGTTCTGAGAATTTTTGGAATATCTTACCTTCCTTTTGGCTCATCAGACAAATTTTTCTAATTGAAATATTTCAATGTAATTGACATAAAATAATGGGCAAATAAAAGCTTATAATCATCTATAGCTTTCATTTCACATTTAATCAATGATAATAAATAAATGATAATATTAGATGTTTGAAAAAGTAAATTGGAATTATCAAATTTATTGGCAGTAATGTTGTTTATTTCATTTACTACTGATTTCAGTTAATGATACATTTTTAGTAACTACTGATAATATTATCAAATTTATTGTCAGTTTTTTTTTCTTTTTTTGTTTCGCAATTAATATTGGTGACTTTTGATAAGAAATGGAATTAAATTAATAAAAATATGTGAACTTTTTTTTTAAATTTTTCTTAAATACGTACTTGTTATATATATATATATATATAATGCCGTAGTGTTGCAGCACCAATTCATTGATAGTATTTAAATAGTAATATAATTGCAATTGTTTTATCAGCGATAAGTTAATTTTTTCTAACTAGTTAATAATTGATAAAACAATTTAATTTCAAGTAACTTTCCTTCTTTCCTTTGAGAATTTTAATGTTAACAAACACATCCCATTTTAGTTTAGCTCATTTTAAATATGCTTATTTCTTTTCATTTAAAAAATATTTTTACGATAGTGATCCCAATCTTTTATTCAAACACTTCAAATATCACAAATTTAATAATTAAATTAATCTGTTACATCCAAAAATTCATCCATTTATTCATACAATTATTCCAAGCAGCATTAATTCTCTCTCTCTCTCTCTCTCTCTCCTTCNCCTCTCTACTACTATATATATATATATATATATATATATATATATA